TAAAATTTAGTTTAAATTAATTAAATGCTTACCAAAATTAAATTTATTATCATTTTTATCTAAAATCGGTTAGTAAAAGAGGTAATATTAGTTGAAATTTATTTCCTTCCTTTTTCGTTTCTGAAAAATGATTTTTTCTTATAAGTTTTTAAAGAAAAAATGTTATCAATCAAATTTTTTATTTCATAAAATGTATATTATTTTTATTCATGGTTAAAAAATATATTAGTTACATAAGATCTTTTAAGATATCTTGCATATCTTATGTTTCAAAAAAATATTTAAGTATATATTTTTCAAATTTATTTTCTCTTTTATAACAATGAAAATAATTTAAGAGTTACAATAAAACCACTAAAATAAATTTTAATTTATTTTAAATTTTATTCCTTAGTAGCCTTACATGCACCTTTTGGTTATAAATTTCACATATATTAATTGAAAACTTTAAATTATTCAGGAAATAATGAATACTTATATATATATTATAAAACTTTAAAAGAAAAGGAGTGCTATTTTTTAATAATAAGTAATTAAATGTTTTCAAAATTAAATTGGATTAAAACCTTTAATACGAAGTTTGTGAATAAAAAAAGATGCACAAATATTAATTTAATTTCTTTTGTTTACTTTAAAAAAACGTTTTAAATATAAATGATTTTAGTTAAATAGTTTAGGAAATATTTAATTCACGTATAGGAATAGTAATGAAGACAAAATATATTGAGATTCTTCACCTAATAAATTTCCTTAGATAAAAATTATAATATCTATAAAATCTTTTAGATATTTGAAAATTTAGATTAACGATCAAGATTTAATCTACAAATAAACGATTGCGATAAAATCTTAAATGCATATATATATATATATATACCATGTAATTTAGAGGAAAATTTTTTAAAAGGAATATTAACCATTTTATTTAACTTTTTTTACATATATGATGATAAGAAGTAGGACTAAATAACCTTCGAATGCATACCACGTTTTTTGGATTTATTGGGGAGGATGTTGTTGATCTTCGTAGTTTTCCCAAAGACCTCAAAATCTCAAGCTACTACATCAAAAAAGTAGATTATAATTAGTTGTTTTATAAAAATTAAACACAAAAAGTAAAATATTATGAGTAAACATTGATTAAAAACGATATGAAAGCATGTGGTGTGAAAATTTTTATTAGTTCATGCTTTGTTTTGTGAGATATATATTTTGTCTCGCTTTTGAAATGAATGTAAACTAAGAAAACATGGAATGGTTTATATAGGCTGTAAAAATGGGGTAGTTAATATTTTAGAATATTTGGTTTGAGATTTAGTTTTGAAAAGAAATAACTTTATTCAATCTCAATCACTAAATTATCGTGATTTTATTGTTAAATATTAAATATTATATCCGAATATTCCATTATCGTGATTTTATTGTTAAATATTAAACATGGAATGGTTTCTATTAAAACAAATATTAAAATACTCAATGTTTAAAATTTCGATCAAGATCTTTATAAAATATTTGAAATTAAGAAAATCTTGCCAATTAAGCTAAATTTTAGGCATTGTATCTTACAAATAAAGTTAAATATCAAACGTAATAATTATCTTTCCTTTAATATTGAAAACCAATTTTTTTTTTTATCAACTGAAAAATAAACAATGGAGATTAAATCTCTAAACCCGATAAACATATCCGTTTACTTAGTTAGATCCGCGTGTTAACCCAGTTAGAAATGATAATTATTTCATTTTGAAACTATAGTGTAAATTCATTGTGTATTTCAGCTTTAATAGTATAGATGCTTCACATGAAAATAGATACATATTTGAGCAGAGACTAATGGGTTTTATTTGTTGTAGTGCAGTCTGCGTATAATATCGGTGGGCAAATCATAAACGCAAACACCATCGAATACTCTATCTTCCGCTTCCAGACTCCAAGGAACGGACGTGTAAGAGTCTTAACTCTTAACTAGCTCCTTATTTTCAAACACAAATATACAATTTTTTGAAATCAACCTATATTATACAGTGGCTTGAGACCATTATTAACACAGCCTTGAGGAAGAAACCAACCGAAGATAAAGTAAGCTCAGTGTTCAGCCTTTGCAAACCAGAGCCACTTCTCTGTTTTGCTCTTTGCACTGGTGCTCTCTCTGATCCAGTGGTAACTTATTTTTGACTCTATTACTAATCCTATTCACATACATATTCTAAGGTTTGTCATACTTCAGTCAGAAATGTCCATGGCTTTTAATGAAAACTCAACATACTTGAATTGGTTACAGTTGAAAGCCTACACTGCATCAGACGTTAAAGAGGAATTAGAAGCTTCTAAAAGAGAGTTTGTGGGAGCAAACGTAACTGTAAAGATGCAAAAGAAAGTGTTGTTACCTAAGTTAATAGAAAGGTTTACAAAGGAAGCTTCTCTGAGCTCTAATGATTTGATGAGATTGTTAATAGATAACGCAGACGAAAAGCTTAGGGAGTCGGTACAAAAATGCGTACAAGGTAAACCAAACAACAAGAAATCTTCTCAGGTCATTGAATGGTTGCCATACAGTTCAAAGTTCCGTTATGTTTTCTCAAAGGACTTGATGGAGAAAAAGCCTTGGTGGACTTAGAAGGATATTGCTTGTGTTATAAGAAGCATCTAAATTCCTTTGCATATGATTTTGTTTTGTATGATGATGGTGTATTAGAATCGTAAGTTGATTTAATCGTTTCCCTATGTATATAAGTATAAAGCTTGAGTTTATGATCGTTGAGACAATAAAGCTTGTGATCCTTGTATAGCAAGTTACAAGACAAATCCATACCTGACAATGACAAGTGAGGGATATTTTGCCAAGAGGCATCTCCTTTCTTCAGAGAGACGCTATCTTGTTCGCTAATCATCTTAATAACTAGGTAATCTTTGGCCAACCATCAGAAGCCAGCTTCCGTGAGTCATCACGCAAAAACTCTTTGCAAAGTCGTCACCGAGATGGCGACTTTTGTAGAGCTTTTCTTTCTCTTCGGGATTGAACAAGAGACAGCAATTCTCATCTCTGGGGAAGCTAATGATCCAAGGGATCTGATTGTTTGGCTGAGATTGTCTTGAAACTTGATCGCCAAGATGAGCAAACGCACTTAGCTCTTGTGAAATCAGCGAAGCCAAGACCTTCGAATACCAGTTGCATGAGATCCAGAGGAAGGTTCGACCAGCCATGAGATTAAGGAGGAGGAATAAAAGAGGCCCAACAACCTGCATCTCATACTTACTTCTCATTGTATAATAGAAATAATTGAATTTAAAAATATATATACTTTTAAGAAATATATATTCTTATGGTGTGAGAGTAGACATACAGTAAGGATTTTGTGATAGCCAATAGGAGCAAGATGATCATGTAGAGTTATGAAAGATGTTAATTAAATTTTGTAAGATTTAGTCCTAATAAAGAGAGAAAGAGATGTACTGTATATTACTTGAATGAAGTCGCATTTGCTAACTTAAGAGAATGAAGTAGAAGAAAAGACAATGTTGTTGTTACGGTGATTGATTGATTAATAAATATCAAAAATCATAGAAAAATATGAGATATTTTAGAGGAAATTAAAAAGCTTAGACCACACATAGACATAGGAACAGAAGAGATCCCCACATGAGGTCCAGCTAAGGATATACATAGTTGTGATTTGTGAACCGGAGGTCCACTATGACCGATGTTATCTGTTGGATTTTGTGGTTTGTAAATTAATTTTGAAAAGCCAAAAAGTTTCCTTCCTATTATTAAAAAAAGTAATTGTGATTTTTCTATACAGTTGTGTTGTGCAGTTGCAGCACACGTTTCATACTAACTCATTCTCAAAAAACATGTCATACAGTTTGGGTTTCTTGTTCTTTGTAAAAGCAATCTTCTTCATTATATTTATATCCTTTCGACAGTAGCTGTAGCTGCACCATCTCTGTTTTCTTGGTTTGTGATCATGATCATCAAAGGTCTGACTGGATTTTTAATGTTTATAAACTGGTTTCTCAAACTTTTCTCAAAAGGCACCGTCTGAATTGTGATCTTCTCTATCTTCAAGTCTGTTTTCTTGCATCTAACAATTCTTGCAGTGTTGTCAATGTTTGTAAGTTTTTGGTTTGCTCTGTCACACCGATGTATGTATATATGGATCATACTTGGTTGTCAAAGAAGATAGCAGTTTTTACAGCAAATATTCTTCGGCCATGTTGTCTCCCATATGATTTCATCTCATTATTCAGTTCAGTAATTCTTTTCATGAGTGTTTCTTTTGCTGTTTGCTTTATGCTCCAGAAAGCTTCTCCCTTAGCCTTTGTAGTCTAATTTGTGATGTCTTTGAATCTCCTCTGTATTCTGTATGCAGAATATCCCAAGCTGCTTGGGCTGAGTCTTCATCAGAAACTCTTCCTCCAAAGCAAGGTGATCTTTGACTTCTAATTTCTTCCCATTCTTATACCGAATTAAGCAGACAACACACTTCTTGTTTTCATGTCAAATAGAAAATGAGTTTGATGTCTCATATTCATGTCATAATATAGTTGGTAGTTAGGTTAGACATATATACTATTTGTTTAGGAAATTATTGGTTTTAGTTAGGTTAAGGGAAAAGAAAAGAGTATATTAAAAAATATGGGAATATCATCAATGATGACCTCGTTCGTTCTACATGTACAGCCAATGCTGTAAAGAACAATCAAAGCTAATATACACATGTATGAAACACATATGATTAAGCAAAACTAGTTCTTTGTCTTGTGTCTATGTAAAACCGTCTTTCTCCACTTCCCTTATTTGTTGGTCTTGTTTTGTTAAGTTTTCTGGACTAGTCACTGAACTAGTACACTCTATTGTTCAGACTGTATCTTCAATATTATTTTCTTAGCGTTAAACTGCTCACGTGGTCCAGTTATATTATATGGTCGTAACCAGATTGAGAAAATCTTAGCTTCTACCAAAATTTTGTTCGCAAGCTGTTCAAGAACTGTAGTTTGCACAAAAAAGAACAACTAACGTTCTTGAACAGCTTGCGAAAATTTTTTTGGTAGAGGCTAAGATTTTCTCAATCTGGTTACGACCATATAATATAATAGGACCACGTGAGCAGTTTAACGCTGGGAAAATAATGTTTGGGGTTATGATCCCAAGCACATCAAGGAAGATCATATCTATATTCCGTTGGTGGAGCCATCAAGGGGATATTGGGAGGTCCAACTAAATAAAAAAATTTGGTGAACGAAGATACCAAAAGCTGTGTTCGAGGATGCACAATAGTTGTCGATTCTGGGACAACGGATATCGTTGGCCCCTTGGTAAGAGACTTGTGTTTTCATCAATATTATATATTCAGTTTTGTAATCATAATATTTTATTTTTTTGGGTATTTGTAATTTTGTTTTGACAATTTTTTTTTTCCTGAAGTATATATATAAAGATGGGAGATATTGCTACACTCGCTTTGCGATTAGTATCAATGGGGAATGGTAAGTTGTGAAGTTGTGCGATCAATTGATCTAATTCCACAAATTTAAAAAAAAAAAAAAAAAAAAAAAAAAAAAAAAAAAAAAAAAAAAAAAACAAATAATTGGATTCCAATGTAGGTTACTAGGAGAAGCTTTCATGCAGGTCTTTTTTGATTTCGGAGATGATGCTAAAGGCCGAAGAATTGGATTTGCAAAATCAGAACCCGAACCTGCATAGAATGTGATGGGAATAATTTCACCAATTATCCGGTTTATGGTTTAATGTTGCTATTTACTATTCCGGTTTAGTTATCTCAAACCACTAATAAACACTATATCATGTGTAAGGCTTTGGCCACTATTTCATAAATTAATAAGAAAATATATCTCTTATTTTCATCACGATCGAAATCTCTGTTCTTGGGATATCAAAGCCCTTGGGGATGCTGATAATTAAGCTTCAATTGGATGAATGGTAAGAACTGTCTTTCTTGTAGCCAGATCATCTTTTAATTCGCCTTTCTCGATCGAAATAATTCTTGTTTACTTGTTTGTTTGTGTTTTAGAGTTGTTAATTAGGAAACACTAGAGAGAAATCCAATCTGTGAAGAAAACTGCTTTAAGACTGATCTTAGTATTTTACTTACACAAGGGTGTACGTGTTACTTCCTGTGACCCGTAAGAAATGATATATCAGTTGACAGATTCTGAGTTCTTAGTTTCAGTTTTGTGCTTTATTGTTTAGTTTGGTTTTACACTTTTACTTAATCCTCTAAACCGTGAAGAGAGCATCACCAATCACACTTTCTTTTAAGGGATTCGTTCCCTTTGTTTAGGACATGTGAGAGTGGTTTTGCAACTGCTGCTGTCTTTTGGGGGCACTTAAAGTTTTTATCTTCATTACACATTCCTTAATTAAAACCACTTTATGGTAAACCAAACAGCAAGCTCAGGTAATTGAATGGTTGCCGTACAGTTCAAGGTTCCGTTATGTTTTCTCTAAGGACTTGAGGGAGAAAAAGCCTTGGTGGACTTAGAAGGATCTTGCTTGTGTTATAAGAAACCTCCCTATGCCCTAATTTTCTCTGTCTTTGTACGTTTATAACGAGACAATGAAAATCATATAAAAAATATTTATATATATTTATATCTTAATAGTATATGTGAAAACCCCAAAATAAATCTATTTTCTTATAACCATTAAACAATAACAATTCAGTGAATTCGGTTATTTAATTTCAAGTACTATTTTCTGGAAATTTACAAAAAAAAAAAAGGATATTACAAGCAAAAAAAATAATCTAAAACATTAGTTTATGTAACTTATAAGATACAAAAGGAGTATTATTTTCATTATTTTCTTTATAGATCATCAATTATATAGAGTTTGACTATGATTATCCGCTGATAAAAAGTTTAGCTAAGTAATTGATTTTTTTATAAGTAATTAAATTTCTTCGTCGTGTTAGGTTTTTGTTAGAAACTTTCAAACGACTCAAATTACATTAGACAAAAGTTGTATGTGTAATACTAATAATCTTATACAGTTAGTAAGTATATTACTAGTTGATTAAGCAAAAATTTGGTTTATTCTTATTGAGTGGAAAAAAAGAGAAGGATGTTTGACCGTTGACTGGGGAAGAATGCACGTGTGGGTGTGTCACACACACGTGTGCTTAGCTGTAATGGGTGGTTTAGGCGTTCGCATAGAAATATATGCGCCACGTCAATTCCACATGGGAACCTTTTTTTTTCCAATTCGCAAGCTTACTCATATATCCTCTCATGAAGAAGATTCTCAAAATACACTTTCATTTTATTTTTCTTTATAATCATTGATGAAATTATGACTTTATAAAACAAAACAAAATCATTAAAGAAATTATAGTCCCTATCTTTTTATTTCTTGGCATGGGAATCTCAATGATCATATTACCATTAGTACTAAATAATATGCCTTAAATTTAACGTAAGAAATCATGAAAAAAACTGTCACGCATACACCATTTTTCGTTGATATATTTATGTAGTATACCTAATAATTAAAGCTTAGTAGTATAAGAATCCAACAATCATGTGATGCAAACCTCAAATTCGGAGCTTTTTTATTTTAGAATAAGAATAAGTTGCCATCATAATCATCATGCATGTTTCCTAATATCAAATGTTCCAGTAAACAGATCTCGAGTACATGTGAGAGGACAATTAGACAAATATACTATTTGTTTAGGAAATTATTGGTTTTAGTTTGGTTTAAGGAAAAGAAAAGAGTATATTAAAAAATATGGGAATATCACCAATGATGACCTCGTTCGTTCTACATGTACAGCCAATGCTGTAAAGGACAATCAAAGCTGATATACACATGCATGAAACACATATGATTAAGCAAAACCATAATTATTGATACTAGTCCTACGCAATTTCGAAACATATATAATGATTACATCATATACTATATATGTACTTTAAATTTTGTTATATAGTAGTAGTAGTAGTATATAAAACTTTTTTAAAATTATTCCTTTGCCATATGATTTTGTTTTGTGACACAACTTTGGATTTGGATCTGTTATATGTAGGCCTGCAGCTTTATCTTTTGAATACTAGCTAGTAAATATTGTCTTCGGAAGAAAACTAATGAAATGAAATAATTGTGTATTCAATTATTCACTTATCATGTAGATAGGGGAGAAACTAATTAAGGTAATAACATTATCCTTCTTGAAGGCACAAACGGATGCTCATATCTTTGTCCACTATCTTCATATATAGTGAGGACTAGAGGAGCCCCTATAGAGAGAAAACTAGGAACAAAAAAAAAGTGAAATGCCGAGTTGATGGGTTTTGGAAGACGTGAAGTTAAGTTCTCATTTAGGCTATGCGTTGAATAATGAAAATGTTATCGTTAAGTAAATTGTTATGAGTTGAACAAAGACGACAGTGATCTTGTATTCTCTAATGTATTGAACGAGTTCATCCTATTTGAATATTGATTCAACTATATAATTAGTTGTTAATGGTATTCGTAATTAGTAGGAGTAGTTTCTAATTTCGTGGTACTGCTCATCATGATCATGATCATCATAATCATTTATATCATATGGGTTTCGGTGGACTCCTTTTACTAATCGAGAGAGAGAAATCGAGAGAGAGAGAGAGAGGGAATAAATGATTAAAAAAGAAAAGCATGCGCGCGAGTGGAAGTAACGCACTTAGAAAGTGCGTGTGTGAGCGAGAGAGAACACGTGGGACAGACAGATCAAAGACTGAAACACAACTCCGACATCTTGTCGGATCTTATGTAAAGCATTGGGTCCCACCTCCACACCACCACTCAAACCATCCCTTTTTTTTTCTTTTCTTTTTTGTGCTACAGTGCTACTCTTTCTCAATAATTGTTCTCCCCCCCATCCATTGCCGTGTATCTCTCTATCTATCTCTCTTCCAACTCTCCTCCATACCACCGCTTGAGCTTAAACATGTGTTTCACTTTTGTTGTATGCAGGAGGAGCCAGGAGGAGAGTCAACAAAACGGCCAATCTTTTTGCTATCTACATCTATCTACAACATACACTTATAAGTTATAACATTATTACAGTTCGGATTATGATTATGCGATGACACTAATAGTACTATAATACAACCAATCCTAATTTCGGATAAATGATTACTGGATTACATGCTTCAATCATTGTTAAAACAAACTAATTCATAAAAAACACAAGTTAATGAGTTGAATACAAAGGAATATTACTATATGATAAAAAAGTAGGCAGTTAAAGGCAAATCAAATAATGATGATAGTAACAAGTTAGCATTGATTGAGGCGGAGGATGGGTTTACATTTACACATGCATGATAAGGAGAATGCGAGTGAGGAGGAAACAAACACAACAAGCACGGTGTCACGCGGAGAATGACCCACATGCTCCTCTCCCCATCTCCATGCTCCCACCATGTTACTACTGTACGCAAAGTGGTTTTACTTATTTTATACACTCTCTCTTCTTGATGATGAAAAGGAGAAAAATAAAAAAAGTAATAATGTAGCTTTAAAATGTCATTGTTAATGAAAGTAGAAACCATGATGATGGCAAAAACCCAAATATATTCATCTCACTCACACTCACACTCACACGTATATCATTGGTTCATAACCGTTGCTTTGGTCCACACAGCTTTGAACAAGTTCAGATTCTTTTGGATTGTGTTTTATACCTACCACTCGAATTAGTCAATATTCCATTATATCCCCCAACCTCTCTTACCTTTTTCATTTTTCCTTCTTCTTCTTCTTTTTTTTTTTTGTAAAAAAATATACATACATATGTGACAAATAATTGGCTATACTATTGGAGATTTGACTCAGCTCGGATATGCCGTAACTAATCAAGATACTATTTTATATGCTTTTTTCTTGACATCTTTACATTATACATGAAGTTTGGTTATCATTATATGACGTACTTGATAAAGACAAAACGAAGTACGAGTTTGATCAACTTTGATATACAAGGTTCGAATTGCGTTATTTCATATACCAAAAAAAAAACATTGCACGATGATGATTCACTTAATTGTGGATTACTTTCTCAGAGCGACCGGACATATTGGTATTGGTTTTAATGACATTGGTTTTTAAATCTTGAAAACACAAACACATATACATGTGAAAGACAAATATGTCTTTATATCATACAACATGGGTTTGTAAGAAATAAACTAAAAATGTGCTTCCTTTTCTGTTTTAAGAAAAGAAAATTAGAAGAAAAAACATAAATATTGATTCCATTTATTATGGAGAAAGTACAAAAAAGAAAGACATGGCAAAAGCCAAAGGAGGGGGACACAAGTTGAGGATAAAGTAATACTACAAGGCCAATACAAAACAATAATGATGGATTGTAATGAGCCACCTGACAAAAATCTCATCATTCAAAGTACTATATTAATCCCCCCACCCCAATCTCTTCTTCTTCAATACCACCACCTCACATCTCTTCTCTCTCTGTATCATCTTCTTGATAATTTCTTTCTCTACTCATAAAGATCAAACCTTTTTGTTGTGTTCTTGATGATGATGGGAAAAGAAGATCTGGGTTTAAGCCTAAGCTTAGGGTTTTCACAGAATCACAATCCTCTTCAGCTGAATCTGACTCCTCCTAACTCTTCCTTATCAATCAATCTCCAGAGGTTTCCATGGAACCAATCATTCGATCCTACATCAGGTTTATACACTTGTGAAACTCTCAGATCTTCTCTGTTTTTTCCTTTTTGTCAAAGAAACAGAACAGATCCCAAAATTTTAAAAGATTAAGCTTTTCTTCTCCGGATAGATCTCAAATCTAAAGTTTGGTTGCTCCTTTGCAGATCTACGGAAAATAGATGTGAATAGTTTCCCATCGACGGCGAACTGCGAGGAAGAAACAGGAGTCTCGTCTCCAAACAGTACGATCTCGAGCACCATAAGTGGGAAGAGGTGTGAGAGAGAGGATATCTCCGGGGCCGATCACGACGATATCACTCCAGATCGAGGGTATTCGCGAGGAACCTCCGACGAAGACGATGACGGCGGCGAGACGTCGAGGAAGAAGCTCAGGTTATCGAAAGATCAGTCTGCTTTTCTCGAAGAGACTTTCAAAGAACACAACACTCTCAATCCCGTAAGTGTGAATATTTTTTTTGGAGCAAATGAATGGCATAATCGTAATTAATCTGAAATAACCAAGGGTGTTATTGTAAATCCTGCAGAAACAGAAGCTAGCTTTGGCTAAGAAGCTGAACTTGACGGCGAGACAAGTGGAAGTGTGGTTCCAGAACAGAAGAGCTAGGTTAGATTTTCTTGTCTGAACCTCTCGAATGATAAGATTACGTTTATACCCCTATGTAGGAGTTTTTATTTATTTACAGAGTCCGGTTTTGATTTACAGAACCAAGTTGAAGCAAACGGAGGTAGACTGCGAGTACTTGAAACGGTGCGTAGAGAAGCTGACGGAAGAGAACCGGAGACTTCAGAAAGAGGCTATGGAGCTTCGAACTCTCAAGCTGTCTCCACAGTTCTACGGCCAGATGACTCCACCAACTACTCTCATCATGTGTCCTTCGTGCGAGCGTGTGGCTGGCCCATCATCATCGAACCACCAGCACAATCACAGGCCCGTTTCTATCAATCCGTGGGTTGCTTGTGCTGGTCAGGTGGCTCATGGGCTGAATTTTGAAGCCTTGCGTCCACGATCGTGATTTTTATTTTTTTATTTTTAGTAGGAAAAGGGTGTTTTCGTATTTTCCGTTATTGATATGGTCATTGTAATTTTGGATGATTGGCCTTCTCATGAACTAGTCTTATCATGTATGATGCAACCTCAAAAAGATATTTTAACTAGCAAAAATTAGCTACACACTTGCATTATTTATTAATCACATTATGATACTATATTTTTGATCTCCCACAGGAGTTCTAAATTAACCCACAAACGTTTTCTTGATAAGTAAAGCTATACTCTCGGTTAGTTATTATGGTGGTATAAGTGTAGCCTAATTGCAATTTCTAACGAAATGATGAAATCTTTTGTGACCTAATCTGTAACATGTATGTATGGCTGAGAATGAGATGACTTTAATTGCTTTTTCGATAGACTGTTCATAAATACAACTTCATTCCCCTGTTTACGAGTTTGCGATTTTCTCATTACATTTGGACAAGTTCTTAAAGATTAAAGATTGTTTGGCTCTTACTGTTGTTCTAAATTTTGTGGTTTGTATTTTTGAACGAACACTTGTTTATTGTATGAGGCTATGAGAAACTCTTATTGGGTTAATTGGCTTTTAATGGGCTGAATTAATATATCGTCGGCCCATATATTTTGTCTTCGTTGTCGTTTCCATCTGCGAAGCTCTCTTTTTTCTCCCACTTCCTCAAGTCTCCTCCTCCTTTTACGAAATCGTTTACCAACACCTTATAGCGACCCAGATGCTGAGTCACTTGATTTGTCGTCTGGCCTCTGCTTCATTACGATCTCATCCCTCAAAAATCTCAGCTTTACAGTTTTCCACAACGATCTCAGCCGCTGAGAGACTATACGACCATCTTCAGGGATGCACAACTAATCTCGAGAAGGAACTAGCCTCGGCTAAGGTGAAATTGGAGTCTTCTTGTATCAACGAGGTAATAAGAAGATGCCATCCAAATCAATTCCAATTGGGTCTTAGATTCTTCATATGGGCAGGAACTCAATCCAGCCATAGACACAGTCCTTACATGTACAGTAAAGCTTGCGACTTTCTTAAGATTAGAGCAAACCCAGATTTGATTAAGGAAGTTATTGAAGCTTATCGGAAAGAGGAATGTTTTGTTAGTGTTAAGACGATGAGGGTTGTTCTAACTCTGTGTAATCAAGCGAGACTTGCTGATGAGGCATTGTGGGTATTGAGGAAGTTTCCTGAATTCGATTTATGCGCTGACACTGTTGCCTATAACTTGGTGATTAGGTTGTTTGCTGATAAGGGAGATTTGGATATGGCTGATATGTTGATGAAAGAGATGGATTGTGTTGGTCTTTATCCAGATGTGATTACTTATACATCAGTGATCAATGGGTCTTGCAATGCGGGTAAGATTGATGAAGCTTGGAAGTTGGCTAAGGAGATGAGTAAGCACGATTGTGTTCTTAACACCGTGGCATATTCGAGGATTCTAGAAGGAGTTTGTAAGTCTGGCTCTATGGAGGCAGCGTTAGAGTTGTTGGCTGAAATGGAGAAAGAAGATGTTGGTGGATCAATTAGTCCGAATGCGGTTACTTATACTTTGGTAATTCAAGCGTTCTGTGAGAAGAAGCGGATTAGTGAGGCGTTGTTGGTATTGGATAGAATGGGAGACCGAGGATGCACGCCGAATCGTGTTACTGCTAGTGTTTTGATTCAGGGGGTTTTGGAGAACAATGAGGATGTTAAGGATCTTACTAAGGTGATTGATAAATTGGTGAAACTTGGCGGTGTTTCTCTTTCCGAATGCTTTAGTTCAGCTACTGTGTCGTTAATCCGTATGAAAAGATGGGAAGAGGCAGATAAGATTTTCCGTCTGATGTTGGTCCGCGGGATTAGACCTGATGGTCTTGCGTGCAGTCTTGTTCTCAGGGAATTATGTTTATTGGAAAGGTATCTCGACTGTTTCCTTCTGTATCAAGAAATCGAGAAGGCCGATGTGAAATCAACAATAGACTCAGATATACACGCGATTCTTTTGCTCGGTCTCTGCAAACAGGGGAGTTCTTGGGAAGCTGCTAAGCTTGCGAAATCGATGCTCGATAAGAAAATGAGATTGAAAGTTTCTCATGTTGAGAAAATCATTGAAGCATTGAAGAAAACTGGTGATGAAGATCTCATGCGTCGTTTCTCTACTGATTAATTTGATTATTCAGATAGGGTTATATATATTCATATAAGGATAAGAATTCTTGTTCTAAGCTTGTTTGATATTGCATAAATTAGTGTAGCAATTGAGGTATGTGCTATTTCTAAGGATGCAAGGGCTCCTTCGTCTTGCGGTTGAGTCTTTGTGTGAGAGACGGTTTGTTCTGGAGATATGGTACTACGTATTTGACGACATCTTCTTTGGCCATTTTGACGTGTTCGCCGGGCACACTTACAAACTTCACTTTTCCAGCAACATCCAATGTTTTAAGACCGATCCAATCCTCTGTATAGAGCTTTGTCTTTTGAGCAGGGAGAACATGTTCGAAGTCACCATCCGGATAAAACCCGAACCAAGTTGAATCATTTGGAACAATAATCGTATCGTCCTGAAACTGTAAAAGAAGACAGAATCATCAAGAGAGGAATCAAATCGATAGGCGAAAAATATAAATGGTTTCGAAGAGATCAAAACCTTGACAAGAACCAGATTGTGTAAACTGGCGAAACGTTCTTTGTAAGTTGAGTTTCTTTGTTCTGGTATCTCATTGCTAAGCTTAGGTAGATACTTAGAGCTTTCCAGGTACTTTGCCACATCCTAAGAAACAGAAAAAGACAAAAAAACATTTTGTGGAATCTCGGTTTAAAAACTTTAATGTTGTTGTTTTGATCATTATTAATACACTAATTTGTTGATTTTGGCAAGTTTTCTTATGGTGAAGAGAGACACATACCATAGGGTCTTTGAAATAACCACTAGGAGCAAGACGATCCTACAAAATCATTAAAGATTTTTAAACTAATTTCTTATTAAGGATTTAATCAAAGTCATTAAAGACATACTTTATGGTATATAGAGAGAAAGAAAGAGAGGAATACTTGAACGAGGTCGCTATAGACACCTTCCTTGATTAGCCCATCTACTATCTCACAAAATAAATCAGACTTGAACAAGAAAAACCAAAAACAACAAAATAATACGATGTTGTTAGTTGTTACTTGTTACTGTGATTTAATATATATGTTAAAGATCAAAGCAAAGAAAAATATTATATATTTTAGAGGAAATAGAAAGGCTTACAAGACACTTGGGAACAGAGGAGATGCCAGCATGAGGACCAGCCAAGGATATATAGTTGTAAACCGGAGGTCCACCGTCGCAGAACTCGATCAAACCTCGAGCCACTAGGTTCCCCTGCTCCTTCATCATTCATAAACGTTCATGAGACTGAAACATGTAAAAATAATGATCAAACAGTACCTATCTTTGGTTTTCAAGAAAGTATCAAGAACCTGAGATCTTGCAACGATGTTGTATCCTTGACTCAACTCTTTCATTTGCTTTACCTTCTCACATGCTATTTCTGCTTGTCGTGTGAGTGGCATGAACCATGAATCGTGTCTTCCATCGCCAATTTCTCTGGATTCCATAAAGAAAACAAGAATAAGATGAAACCAAATACATCATCATAGTTAAGCAATAGCAAGAATACACACTATTATACATCATCATAGTGTTGTGGACTTTACTTACATGCAAGAGCCAGGAGAGCCAGAGAGGTTAGTGAGAAGATGTGTGAAGTTATCATTTGTACCATCAGCACATTGAGCTGCGATTCCATGAAGCATTATGAACGGAACTGAGACAGAAACATGAACCATGCATAAGAATGCAACCACCACCGTAACACAAGACCGCTTCAAACCTTTCTCCATATTCGTAAAACGCCAAAGATATACGAAAGCTGCAATTGGCTTTTATGTGTTTGTGTCTCCAAGAACTTTTAAGATGCATGGGAATTTTTTTGTTTTCTTTGTAGCCAAACATATTAAATCAAAAAATGAAATTAAATGTTACCATAAAAAATGGTAATAAAAAATGGTAGTGAATCAATATTCATAGAAATCATAATAAAAATGTTACCATAAAAAATGGCCTATTCAATTCAAAGTTATATATATATGTCAACGTATTTTCTATATTTATAATATATTTCTATCTAATTTAAACTAATAGATTTCAAAATATTATAATTTTTTTTTTAAAGTTTACATTAATTGAAACATTTTGAAAAAACTTAGTTATTAAAAAGCTTTGATATAATATAATTCTTGAAATTTATATCTTTTCAAATATATTAAAAATATTGAATATTAAATAGTTCAAATGTTATAAATATTTCAATTTAATAGAAAGTTAAATACTATAAATAGTGAAACTCCAAAAAAAATTAAAATAATATAAATATTTCAACTCTATATAAGTTTAGGTATTATTAATTTTTACTTCTCTAAAAAGTTTTTATATATTATAAATTTTTAAACTACATGTAAAGTTTAAAATATTAGATATTTATCTCTATAAAAATATAAGTTTAAGTATTACTATATCATTCAAATTTTTTAATATCTTGAAGATAATTTATTTCCAGATATTTTTAAATCTAAATTTTATTTTCAAAGATATACAGTTTCTATTGAAAAACTTGAAAAACCTCTTAACAGAAAACCAAATCTAACCATATAATATATAGATGTATAATATAAAAATATATTTTAGAATTTTATGATATCTTGATAATAAACGGTTTGGTTTGCTAAACTCATAATCATACGATAGAGCGGGTAATGATATATATATATATATATATTTATGAATTCAATTATTTACGGGTTAGTTCATCAAAATATACAATATGAATGTGTATTTTTTTACAAATGTGATCTTATCAAATATTTGTTTTCAGTTAATACAAACCCGTGCTGTAGCAGAACTATTAAAATACAATCCTACACGTATGTGCGTGTCCATCACTAATTTAGTTCATAGTTGATTCGGATCCACTGTCACGTCATTCCGAATTTCTCAGTGAAACTGATAATTCATTTTTTCAAAAAATATATATATATATATAATAATTCAGATAGGTATGTATGTATTTATATAAGAATAAGGATTCTTGTTCTACAAAATCATGCATCACTAAGCTTTTTAGACATTGCATAAATAACTATAAAAATTTAGGTATTTGCTCATTTAAGGATGCAAGGGCTCTTTGGTCTTGCGGTTGAGTCTTTGTATGGGAGACGACGGTTGGTTCTGGAGATACGGTACAACGTATTTGACGACATCTTCGTTTGCCATTCTGATGTGTTCACCAGCTACACTCACAAACTTCACTTTCCCAGCAACATCCAATGTTTTCAGACCGATCCAATCCTCTGTATATAGCTTTGTCTGTTGAGCAGAGAGAAGAGGTTCGAATTCGCCATCCGGATAAAACCCGAACCAAGATGAATCTTTTGGAACAATAACCTTATCGTCCTGGAACTGTTATAAAGAAAAACAGAATCATCAAGAGAGGAATCAAAAGATAGTTGAAATGAAAAGATATAATGGTTCTGAAGAGACCAAAACGTACCTTGACAAGAACCAGGTTATGTAAACTGGTGAAACGGTCTTTGTAAGTTGAGTTTCTTTGGTTTGGTATCTCATTGTTAAGCTTAGGTAGATACTTTGAGCTTTCCAGGTACTTTGTCATATCCTGTCAAATCAAATACAAATAACTTTTTGTGATATCTCTGTATATAATTGGTGTTTTTGCAAGTTATCTTATTGTGTGAGTGAGTAGACTTACAGTAGGGATTTTGAGGTAACCACTTGGAGCAAGGTGATCCTGTAGAGTTATTAATTAAAGATGTTAATTAATTTGTAATTAACTTGAGGATTTAGTCCTAATAATAAAGAGAGAAAGAGATGTATTACTTGAATGAAGTCGCTATAGATATCTCCCTTGATTAGGTCATCTGCTAACTTACAGAATAAACCAGACTTCAACAAGAAAAAAGACAAATGTTATTAGTGTGATTGATTGATCACAATCAAATAACAAAAAAAAAAAAAGATTAGATATTTAGAGGAAATAGAAAAGCTTACACCACACATAGGAACAGAGGAGATGCCAGCATGAGGACCAGCTAAGGATATATAGTTGTAAACCGGAGGTCCACCATCGCAGAACTCGATCAAACCTCGAGCCACTAGGTTCCCCTGTTTCAATATCATTCATCAACATCCATGAAACTGAAATGATCAAAAAAACAATATTTAAGGGGTTTCAAGAAAGTGAATCAAGAACCTGAGATCTTGCAACAATGTTGTAACCTTGACTCAACTCTTTCATTTGCTTCACCTTCTCACACGCTATTTCCGCTTGCCGTGTGAGTGGCATTAACCATGAATCGCCTACTCCATTCCCAATTTCTCTAGATTCCATACCAACCAAGAAAAAAACATAGACGTAAGCCACTTTGGACGCTTTAGATATAGCAAGAATACACAAACCCTTGTATATACAATGAATAAACTAGTTTTTTTTTTGTGGTTACAAGACTTACAAGCAAAAGCCAGGAGAGCCAGAGAGGTTAGTGAGAAGATGTGTGAAGTTAGCATCTCTAGCATTAGAACATTGAGCTGAGATTCCATGAAGCATTATGAAGGGAACTGAGACAGAGACATGAACCAAGCCTAAGAATGCAACCGCCACGGCAACACAAGAGACATGAACAAAGAGCTGAGATTCCATGTTTTTGTGTTTTTTACTTCTTTAAGGTTTATAAGTAGTCTCCAAGAACTTTTGAGATAGGAATGAATATATAAAGGAAATAATAGAAAGAGTGTGGTGTGGTTGGAAGTTGCGGCCAAGTAAGAAAGAAGTAGACGGTGATGATTCGTTTCTACACCAACACAGTAATGAAATGGACGGTGATGGATTAGTAAGAATAGAAATAGACGGTGATGATGATTCGTTGCATTAAACTCTCTCTCTTTCTTCTTCTTGTTCCTCCTATGCTATCTTCTCGCGGTCTCTTTTAATATGGCACGTATTTATGTGTGTCTCTACGTATTTATTTATAACATAGCTAGCATATTATCCTAAAGGGACTTTCATATAATTAATCTTTACAAAAGCTTATAAATCCACTCATATTTAATGCAAAATAATTTTTTTTTTTAAAGTATCTAATCATATTTTAACTATTGTAATTTTGTAAATATATGTAAGCTTACCCAATCTGGTAAGGATGTAATAAGTGAATGGGTGTGTTGTGTTGATTGATAGGAGGGATAAAAATGTGAAGGGTCAAGTGGTTTTGTTTACTTATTGTGTTTCTTTCGATAGCCAATCACATTTGTAGATCTTATTTTTTGGTTCCATACCTCTTCTTCTCTGGTTAAAATATCTCCAAAACTATACTATTTGGGAGTACTATACATGTTTTGACCATCTTATACGTACATTATAGCAAATAGTGGTGATACTAGAAAACAAGGTCTCACGTTAACGTTACTCTCACGCTTAAATCTTTTACAAATAGAACTCGTCGGTCAGATGTCTTTTGAGGGATCCCATTAAAGCACTGCGATAAGCATCAGAATGTGAACTGTGAATAATAAATACTTTATAAAGTCTAGACGACAGTTTCTGAGAAAACATCAAATCCATAACCAGTAACTGTGAATATTGATTAATACATTTTAGTGCTAATTATTAGTCTCGCAAATCCTACGAATTTTGTCAACTAGTTCACACCGGTTTTGTCTCTAATCTTACTACCATACAAACATCGAAGTTAGATTGTAAGAATACTCAGAATGGACCCATATACAGACAATATTCCTGATCAAGACCTCTTTCAACAAGCACTAAGGAAATGCATAGTTTGGTTCTTGATGCTCCATAATTGATATTTTGGTAACTTGAATTCCAAAATAACTTTGGCACTTTGCTGGTCCACAAATACAGAGTCGACAACAAAACTGAAGACTTCTAAAAAAAAAAAGCTCAATCTTTGTCTACATTCATGTCGTAAAAGCTAATGAGTTTTACCCCCTCTGTTAAGAATTTATTGAATTCGATTCGTTTCTGGACAAATCCCTTTCAAGCTGTGAGACCACTACTTTGCTTTAGCATGCTTCTTCACTTTTCTTGTAAACGCAAACTCTCCGAATTTATGCCCAACTTTCCCCTCTGTGATCTTACAACGCACATGAGTTTTGCCGTTGTAGATTCTCACCGATGAATCAACATACTCTGGCAGAATTGTTGATCTCCTTGACCATATTTTCTTGTTCAGAGCTGCATTTTTCTTCTTCATCAGGAATGCATCAACGAATGGATCTTTCCATACAGATCGGCTCACCATCTTATTGCCTTTTGTCTCAGCTTCTTTTATACTCTCATCCAAAGACAATGGTAAACTTGGCCAATCTTTTGCAACGTTCACACGGATGTTAAACCCATTCAGTTCCTAATTGATCATACAACACAACAATCAACATGATAGGCAAATTGATAGATCCACGATTCTTCAGTTTTCTAACCTGTCCATCCATAGCTGAAATAGCAGATTTGGCAGAATCCTCACTCATGAAGTTAACAAATCCATAACCCCTAGACCTCCCAGTGACTTTGTTTGTCATGACTCTTGCTGCACAACCAAAGATACGAAAAGATTCTATTTAAATTCCGAAGACTGAAATTATTCAAATATATTAACCATCGTCAGAATGATAGTTAAGTCCTGAGCCACACAAACACTTAAGCAAACCAGAAATACCATATTATAAATGTTCATCAACATCAATTAGGCATGGTATACTGATGACTAGGACGGCTCAAACCCAACCACACATCCTTGAATGGTTTATGCATTCACTAGCAAGCAAATCCATATTATATCGAAGAACAGTAAAAAGAAACATGTGAAGATCCAGGGCTTACCTTCTGTCACTCCATTGAAGGTAGAGAAAGCGTCCTTCAAGGACTGCTCGTCAGTTCCAGGTGAAAGACCTGGAACCGAAATTAACAGTGACCAAACATTTAAAAACTGCTATGGAAGAGAAAGCAAAAAAATACAGAAACAATACACATTCACAACAGCAAATAGTCAGAAAATGAAACATTCTGATAGGGAAGTTAGACCTTACCACCAATGTAAATTTTTGTGGACATGTAGCGGAGAGAACCGAGTATTGTTCTGTTCTGAACAACTCCTTGTTTCAAGTGACAGCCGATTTTCGTGCAGAAAGCCATAGTAATGTCTAGAAACGATAAACAAATAACAATGAAACCCTTTTAAGCTAAGAAAATTACAGCAGCATGAAAATGTCTAGACCCTCAATACCCAGAAAACTACATTAACATAGCCATGATAATTTCATATAAACCTAGAAGATAAGTAGTAGTAATTCAATTTTGTAAGTAAATACAGAGACTGATTAAACCAAATTGATCAAAATTTTCCAAAATGAGGGCAAACATTAACATTATTATGTAAAGCAAGAAACTTGAAAGCATCGTTGAACCAGAAGTACTCAGTTTCGTGATCTTCAAAAAAGCTAAAAATTTAGCTTCAAAATCAAAAATTAGAGACATTGATGAGTAAAGCCAAAGAAACAGAGAGCTTATAACTCTAGAGAAAGTTCATGATTCCCGCTAATGACCTACATTGATTACACAATTAAGCAGATCAACCTAATTGTGACACACTGACCCGTAATACTAAACCTCGAAACAACTCGAGAGAGCAATTAGATTTAGAATAACGTCGATTTAGCTCATTTTTTATATTTCGCAGAAATGATCGAACAGAGAAAGGAAACCATTGAAGCGTACCAGTTAAAGAACGACGAAGAAGAAGAACCCTAGAAGGTGAAAATGTTTACGGCTTTCAGAGACGACACAATTCTATTTCGGACCGTCTGGATCTAATCATACCCAAACTGGGCCTGTAAAATGGGCCTAAATTATATATTATCCCCCGGGAAAGCCCAATAACTTAAATAAACTAGCTTTATTTGAGAGTGCTGTCTCAATTAAACAGCTTCTGACATATCCATCAAATCACCATAACCACTAGCTTTTGCTAATAAACTAGTCTCGCAAATCTTATAAATTAGGGTATGACACAGAAATGTGAACTCAGGGAGAGAAGAAGATGGCACAATTACGTCGACAAGTTCCACACACCATATCTGTCTGTCTCTAATATTACACTACAAGTACAATCCAATATCTTAGATGGGTTCTCATTTATATTTCAAATCTTTTTTTTATACATTTCTAAATCCAAAGAAAGAATACTCAAAATGGACCCATTGCCTCGCTTCTTGTTTACAGACAACACAGGTTCCTGATGATCATGATCAAGATCGCTTCAACAGAAACTCAGGAGATGCATCATCATCATCAGCTGGTTCTTGGAGGAGCTCACGGGCAAGTCGCACTGGTCTGTCTTGTAGATAAGCAATGTCACTGTTTGGTGCTGTTATCAGATGATGATCCGATCCTTCTCCATCTGTTTCGTATGACACAGAAGATGCAAGTGACTCTTCTGATCCATCGTTATCATCTACAATAGAGATAAAAACACAACTGGTTTCATTAGAAATCCAATAAGCCTATTGCAGTTTTTTGTTAAGAAGAGAAAACCCAATAAACTTACCAGAGAACTCAAGGGCTTCAGGAGGATTAACCGATGAGATCTGTATGCTTTCTGGAAGGATACAATTACAGAAAGAACCTGGAGGAATACAACCATGTAAGAAAATGTTCAAAAACAAGAACAAAATTCATAAAATTATAAGCTGGAAGATATATAGAAGAAAGTTATCTTACCCACTCGAGCCATCCGATTAATCCATCCGGGAATAGGCTTTCCTGTTACCTGCACACATACTTCTTCAGTGAAATGGTTACAGTTTTTGGCAATTAGATGATATGTGTCCCCATGATATTTTCTTGAAAGCTTCTCCATGAATGAGCGGAAATCAGAGCGAGACATGGTGGTGGTTCCCAGCAAAACTGACCGCCTAAAGATGAAACCTGGACAGCTCCTAGGTTCAACCTCAAATACCCCACTGCTCGAATACTCATGAGCACCATAACCATATTCGAAACCATGAGCTAGTGGGTAGACATAGAAATGTAAAAAAAACTCATGTCAGATAAACATCTAGCAACAATAACAACTTCAGCAGAAGTATGGTTGCAACACATCATCAGGCAAATTCTAATTATTGAATGAGAATGTTTCAGAAAATTAGTCAGGATTTGAAAAGCTTTCCATCCTAGATTCCTCAAAACAAGTCCACTTTTTCCTTCTAATTATGTATTCCATAGCTAATAATAAAAAACATAGTCTAAAGAACCAAGCATTGTCGTCTAATCAATAAATCAAAACTTGTAGACAACAAATGAGAAGCATCATGGTTCCTATTCATGACTAGAGTACTTTGCTAACACTATTTAGACGTGTTCGTGAAACCAGATATGGCTGAAAGCAAGTGGAAAGCAATGAATACACAGGATACATAGGCTAAAACAAAAGAACATAATAGAGAAAGGTTTGATTAGGTGAATCAAAAAAAGGATAGTGTAGGGAGAAGAAGCTGGCATTTACCCTCAATCCCAGAGTGAAATATGCCAAGGCCGAACCAATAGAGATAATTGTTGACAGGAGTTAGATCATAGACGTTGAGATAGACAGGCGTGAGAGCGCCATCTCCAGTGATCTCTTGTTCCTTATCCTCACCTGAACATAAGCTTGAGCTCAAACCAAGCACCCGCATTTTACACGAACCAATGTCTCTCCCAATTCAAATAATCATGTTCCTCCTAAAATCTCTGCAAAACTAAATTGAACATAAAGAGAAGCTAAAGTAAACAACCTGTTCACATAATTGGACCATTAGAGATCCGAAAAGGGAGCTGCTTTGGTTAGCTAGTAAGAGAACAACAGATCAACGAATCCAATTCTCAAAACAAAATCTTTCAAACGAATCTGGAAACTGCTAGATCAAGAAAAACCAGACTTTAGAGAAAAAGGAACTCTAAGAAGAAACAAATCTGAAACCCAATCATAAGAGGATCGTTCCCCAAAAGAACCCTAACACATTAGATTACATACGAACAAAATCGAAATCGAGGGACCTCTAAGTCTCTCAAACATTACACGAAAAACAAATCCTTTGGAGAGAAGATGAAGGGAGAGAGAGAGAGCTTACATGAGAATCTGGGAATTGGCGACAGAGAGAGAGAGAGATTGGAAGAAGAATATAAAAAAACGTCCGGCTGATACAAAAAGGGAAAGGGGAAACAAAAAAAAAACGTTATTTTTGAGATATATATGATCGACATTGCAAACTGTGAAATAAGATTTTTAACCGAAAGAGTTATTAATCAATTTCTGCAATTTAACTTAACTCAAGTCTTATTAGTGAAACTAAATTTTCTTTCTGGACGACTTCCTATCCATGGTTGACTACATAAAATGAACCTTAGTAATCAAGAAATGATATTTTTAGGGTTCAATGTTTCCCAACTTTCATTTTAAACCACTAATTATAGTCTCGCGCTAATTTAAAAACAAAAGGTGCGAAACCAGTATCCTATTTATTCATGATTTTACCGTTGTATCATTCCTTTTAATAAAATTTCAGATTATGTTATTTTGCAAATCAGTATATTAAAAAAAAATCATTTATTTTCAACCATCGCAGTTTTTTCCATCGCTATTTGATAACCATTTAGCAACAACATTTTTTGGTCGCTAAAATAGAATTTTCAATGTTTTTAGGGGATCAAAATATTTAATAAACTTCAATTTTTATCACTTGTTAGAGTTTCACACTATTAAAATACACGCAAAACTGTTAGTCTGTTCCCTTTTTTATTTATCTATCATGCAAAAAAAAACAATTCTTATAAATATAAGTTATTTAACATAATTTGAATTGGATACAAATAGTATTTATCATTGTAAACATAGTTTTTTTTAGTAAGTGAACACAAAAACTTGAAAAACTAACTTATAAAATAAATTGTTGAATACATGATGAGAATATATATTAGTATAGTTTGATATGTTTTAGTTTTAAAAATTTAATGCATGTATTTTTATGTAAAACACAACAATTGAAAAGTGAGCATATTGGAATGAATTTTTGATTACTTGATGAAAATCCACGACAATATGATATATATCTTCTTCTTTTTTTTGGTATTTTTTTAGTATATTTTACAAATTTGAACTCATTTTAAATTAGTTTGAAGTGACGTAAAGTTATTTCTGATGAGATTATGACATATAAAAGCATAATATTCAAGACAAATTTGGTGTAAGATATTGCGATCATCGAGTCGGGTGGAGTTGTCGTGCCAGAGTACTCACCATGTTTAGCTACGCCGTTTGCATCTAATAAGGGAACTCGTTGGTCAGCCCAAGTCGTCTTGCTAATGAAAGATGAAGGTCTTCGCTCTGCTTACGTACTGCTTAGGGAACGCCATCTCTAGGAACTTTGTTAAGACCATGAGTTAGAAGCAAGTGGGAACTTATGGAAGAAATTACGTGAATAAGCAAAAAGTGGAGGCAAGAAATATTAACGAGAATCAAGGGGAATGACTCTGATTTGGAGGAACCGTCTTTACGTGCCAAGTTATCCGCCGTTACATTCGCGCTTTTTAGAATAAAAGAAAGAGAAAATGTTTGAGAATGCTTCCCTATCAGTTTTGATGTTGTTCAAGTATACAGAGAACTTCTCGCCGGCCACTCAGAAGGATAATACACTATTTTCACCTAATCGGAAGGGAAACTACGTCTCTGAAGTCATAGCCAATCATGCATCTCATTACCCACACCATAACCAATAATAATTTTTAGAGATTATTAATTTATGGAGTATCAATATATATAGGTTTTATTGTAATAAAACACGAATTTACGGTTTAACTGAAGCGAACCAAACTGTGATTGGGTTATAAACCAACATGACCGAGATTGTGATTCTGTAAACCAATAAAATTGGACCGGTCCGGCTTTTTGGGAGAAGTGAACTTAAAGAAGAAGAACTATTGCTGTGGATGGCGTCCGAACTCACGCGATTACCTCATCTCTGTCTCACGTTAAGAGTAGTATCTCAGTTTAGTAGATATGTTACCTAGAAGTTTCTCTATTGTGGGTCTCTTCTTCATCCTTCGACTCAAAAATTTGAAATGTGTGGTTTGTTTAGTTTTTTTTCAGCATTCGGAGATTGACTGTACTGTAACTGTTACCAGGGAGATTGAGTCACAACTGGGAGTTATTGCCAAGTTTCTTCAGGGTACGATTTCTCAGAAACTTTTTTATTTTACTATTCCTTTTGAATATAAAATTAGACAAATGCTGCAAGGAAATTCAAATCGTCTACGTCTAGTAAGTGACAGCGACAGAGATTAGATATAATCTGCTGCAAGTATCTGGAATTGTCCAAAGCCAAATAGAGATCCTTGTTTTACCTATGTATCCCTTATTAGTTTCTCTTCATCAAAAGTTCATTACTGATTTTGTAAATGCATTGGTAGGATGTGAGGGGCAATGTTCCTTTCCATCTTCCTTTCAACTCATGGTCGCCCTGATCCACTGGGGGTAATTCTCCATAAAAGGTGATTTACAACATGCTTTCAAAAGCTCGGAAGGGGAATCAAGAACCTACTCCTACTCGTCGGGCCAATCCATGTTGAACCATCTTTCAGTAGCTTCAACGCGAAGTCCTGGAACTGCCTTCTCAACCTTTTCCCACATCCACAAAGCCTCTCTATAGCATGTTACATGGCGTAGAGCGCTCAATGAAACCGCGGAGTTAGGTATGCTCGATACGCTACATTCTCTCATGTCGATTTTCTCAAGTGTCCTTACCTTTCCTATATTTTCCGGAAGAGAACTTAGGCTGAGACAGTGAGAGATGTCGACGTGCATTAGTCTTGGCAACTCACAGATTTCTGCAGGCAGAGATTTTAGCTCTGGGCAAGCGTATAGCCTCAAAAGTTGAAGAGCTTTTAGCTTACTCATATTCTTAGGCAATTCCTTGATGTTGGGACAATTTGTTATGCTGATGGATTTGAGAGAGGTGATTCCATAGATGGTCAAAGGAAGTTCCACAAGATCTTCGCAATAATCTATTGTGAGATCAGTCAATTGTGGGAAGATTTGGGCAATGTCTACTGCTGTCTGATCAAAACTGTTATTGATCTTGCAAATAATCAGATACAGCTTGTGGAGGTTTTTCAAGGGTATTGTACTGCTAGAGAGTTCAGGGACATGAACCCTCTCAAGCCAGAGACTCCTGAGATTGGTCAAATTGGTAGAGACGGGGAAGTCATGTAGATGCGCTGGAGAGATACCGTTGTTGATAATCACGAACACCTTAAGCCTTCCCATCTTAGCAATGAAAGGAGGTAACACATAGTTGTCTGACGAGAAGTTTAGTATCAGAGCTTCTGCATTTGGGAAATCCATGTCAAACCAATCCATCTCAGTCATTTCTCCTGTGCAGAAAAAAACCCCAGAAATCCTTATTAATACCTTATGATTCAAGTGACAAACCGAATTAATACATTAGAATATCATTGTGTAAACAAATTCTTGCCGGTGTGAATGGAAACCACTCGGGCATTGTATGGCTCATCATTGCTCCTCTCCCATTCTCTGGGAAGCATTGATTCTCTTTTTGGCATCAATAACCGGTTTCTTCTACTTACCTTCCCACGATTGGCAATATGAAGTGCTACATCTCTTAAAACATCATGTTGCGTCACAAATATATCATAGTAGCTAGTGTGCATAGCAACAAACCTGCAACATTATCCACGGTAAATTAGTTAAGAATGGTTTAAACTGTAAAAGTGGCTACAAGAGACGAGAACATAAAAAGTTGTATAACTGTACGTTGGGTCTTTGACGAGAGTAAGGAGATTCATGTTTGTTAAATTAACAAGAACATCAAAGGCAGTTGCGTCCTCGAGATCATGTATCTCGACCAACATGTTGATGAGAACATCAACAGGGATTTTCTTGCCTTTAGGGAAAGCACCCATATCTAAGAAACACTCTTTGCTTGTAGGATCAAGTTTTTCTAGAGTTGCTTCAATTTGAGCAAACACTTTACTCTCATGAGTTTCATCAACAGGTTTACCTCTAGATAACCTCTCCACTGCACTTTCCCAATATTTTTCAGGTCGATCTTTTAATGAAGCGCCAATGATTTTCAGAGACAAAGGTAGACCTTTACATTCCCCAACAACCTACCAAATTGAGTCAATATGAGTACTGAAAATACAGAGAATATTACTACTATGCATGTAACACTTCAAGTAGACCAATTACCTGCTTGACCAAACTTTTGCTAAACCCTGAAGGGACTGAGTTCTGGTTGAAAGCAGAGAGACAGAACAGAGACGTTGCTTCATGTTCATGTAGTAACTCTACATCATAGGTGGTTCTAGGATCTGCGAGTTTAGACTGTGAGACCACAAGTGTTGTGGTTCCAGGAATATTGAACATCAGCTGGTCTAGAGATTCCCTTGTCCAAACATCATCAAGGACCACTAACTTCCGTGTATGACCAATGGACTCCGGAATGGTGGCACCAAAACCAGCCTCATGACCAATAAGAAAATCCCATATTAGGGCTCTCAGCTTCTCAAGGTTGGGTGATTGTGACACAGTCAGAAACAAAACTCGGTTCCCAAAATGGCCTGTAAAAGCCGTAAATTAAAGCCTTTTTAGCATCAAAGAAAACTCTCCGACTCTTAACAGTGTCTAATATCAAGAAGACAAGAACTCAACTATACGACTTAACAAAAGTTCGCAGAATAACATTACATAATAGAAATTGGAACAGATAGAGATGGATGCATGATCATCCAAATAAAAAACCAACAAAACATGCAATTAAGCAACAACACAACTTTCTCACAACAAAGATGCCCTGAGCATATTAACAAAGGAAACTGAATAACATAAATCATTAGGCAAGCACATAAGACTAAACAAAATTGATTACCTCGGACCTCCTCGTCCCGCACAAGCTCTTTGGCAAGAATGGTTTTCCCTGAACCAATCATCCCTGAGATCCCAATAAGTCTTGCCTCATCCTTAAAATTAAAAAGCATCTCCTTCACCTTCCTCTTGCCTAAATCCAATTCCCAAAGTCAGAAAATATGATAATCAGAAACAAAACTCGGTTCCCAAAGTGGCTTGGAAAAACAGCAAATGAAGGCCTTTTTAGCATCAGAGAAACAACTCAATGACTCTTAATCATTGTTCAATATCAATAACCCAACAATAGTCCACCTGAGATGCACAAACATACATAAACATAGAGGCATAATCGATTATAAATATTTGGTTTCTATGTATGTTAGATTAATATGTTGAAAAATGCAACACCATGATGGTGTAGTTTATCTTTGATGTTGCATAATATTAGTGTATTATCGAAGTTTCTTTTTTTTTTTTTTTTTTTGAAGGGACTAAATGGATTTTATTAATTTTTATCAAATTTGTACTATTTTATTTCCATGCATGGTTTATTCCCATTGAAATCCTTTGTTGAAGGGGATGATTATTTTTAGTTAGGAATAACCGTATAAGAAGATGAAAACAAATTCAAATTTGTACCAGGAGTGTCAATCATATTGCTTATGGGGCCATCTGGTGTCAAAACTCTATGTGTCCGGCATTCCATAGTAACAGATGTTGCGTGTAGTCCCGATTGGACCGCCTTCTTTCCACTTCCTGTAGTCCAGACCTGGTCTATGTTTTGGAGTGGATATGACTCCGATGTCAGACCATCCATCTTCGGATCTTCAGCCATCTGTGGAAAGTCACTGCACTCCGTTCGTTTGGTTACATAGTTCATACAAAAAATGATCAATCAATATGAGGATCACCACTGAATTTTTATACCGATTTAGCTTTCCAGTTTCAATAAATAATAAGAGTGACAATTTTATATAAAAAGAAAGATGGTAGTCAGACATTCTTGTCAGAATTCATCACCAGGTTCTTTAATAAAATACATATGTAGGATGAAAAAGAAGATACCTGTTATTGAAATGGGAGAAACGTTGTTTTGTAGCATCATCCTCCCATTCAACGACTTTTATCAATTGTTCCTCGATTTTCATTTGAACTTGATTTCCTATAGTGCTCTCAGAGTTGAATGGAAGTCTTCTCAGCTCTGGACAACACCTTATCTCGAGATATTCCAGAACTGGGAAGGGTAGAGGAGTCCAGTAGATGCTCTCCAGTTTAGGTAACCCATCTAACACGAGCTTAGTTAGATTTTGAAAGGGCTGCTCACTAGCATGACCCAGCTTGGCCATAGCTTTCTCTTTGCTTATTACTTCTTCCATTTGCGGACATTCAGATACACTTAGATCACCAAGACACGGGGCTAACAGCAACCATGTCAAGTCTTTAAGACATTCACACCCATGAATAGTCATTGTGCGTATGTTCTGGAATTGTGGAATTTTCTCAGTGTCGCTTAAATTAACCGTCTCACTTTGGATGGTGCTTTTCCAATCAATGGCTATCTCCGGGATATTACATCCCAAAATATCAAGCTCGCGAAGACTGAACATAGCATTCAACGATAATATTCCTCCATCGACTATAGTAGTTTCAGTACTGAGATGTAAACGTTGGATAGAACTTGCCAACCCATGGATACTTAGTAACCGCTGCAAAACAGAAGATCCTCTCACCGTTAGACTCAACGCTTTCAGGCTCTTCAAACGTTGAATATCCTCCATTAACTTGAGATCCATGCAAACAGAATGAAATAATCTCAGTACTTGCAAATTCAATAAGCTGGCTATCACGTCAATTTCTTGAAGATTAGATGTGTAATCCAAATCCAAGTGTATCAAACTCTTAAGCTCTTTTAAACCATGGGGCAATCCTTTTATAAATGTCCATGATAAGTTGAGAAACCGCAGCAACACCAGGCTCGAAACTTCTTCTGGCAACTCAGCAAGTTCTCTATTAAATGACAGATCCAAGACTACGAGACCTGTCATCCACCGAAAGAAAGTACCAGAGATCCATTTTAAGTGTCTGTTTCTTTGGCAAACAAAGGTTGTAAGCTCAGAACACCGAAGAGAATCTGATATATTCTGAATCTGAGTAGATGTCACTGACATTCTTCTAACCAACCCCGTGTCATTGACCATTGGCATATGATGTATTCCCTCACCGCCTACCACGACAAAGTGTTCAATCTGCCTCCCAAAGTCAGATGCTATCCACAAGGCCAATTCACGAACCATACCAGGCATCTTTACACAATATCCATGTCTAACCTCCATCAACAATCGCATCCTAACCAAATCATAAATAATTTTATATCCCTGATTCTCAGCTTCCGCTCTAACTTCTATTGCAAGGATTCCCTCGCCTATCCAGTAGTTGACCAGATCTTCTTTTCTTATATCATAATTTTCTGGAAATAGAGCACAATAAAGGAAGCATAACCTGATGTTTTCATTAGTCATATTATCATAGATAGACTTCAAGATGGGAAGAGCCCCATTTTCCATATCTGGAAATTCGGCTGTCGACGAAGCTAAAACATGAACTGTGTAACGCCATTCGCGTACAGTCCTTTTGTGTGACATGGCCTCACCTATGAGATTGAGAGCAAGGGGCAAACCACGGCATGAATTAGCAACTACTCTTGCAAGCTTAGGTATGTCTTGATGACTTCTTAACGTGTTATCTCCGACAGTCTCTTGAAACAAATCCCATGCTTCTTCTGGGCTCAAACATGTAACTTCTACCTTAGCATCAACCCACTTGCTTTCATCACATGCTTCCCGAGATCGAGTGGTGACCACGATTTTGCATCCATTTTCTCGGCTAGGAAAAGGAACTCCAATTTCTTCAAGATCCAATCCCCTCTGGATGTCGTCCAATAACAACAAAAATCTCGCTCCCTTTAAGGCCATCAATATTGCAGCTGCCTTGTCCTCTTTAGTTTCTCTCCCCCATTGTAGGCCTAATCTATTGCTGATTGCCTCCTGTATGCTCTCGACCACTTCAGACCCCACAACAACAAAGATCACAAGACCAAATGCTGCTAGACGAAACTTGTTTTTGATTCCAGTAAGAAGTGTGGTTTTGCCAACTCCACCCCTACCATAAATACCTAAAGCCCCAACATTTTTGTCCTCTAAAAGATTACACGCCCTTTCAAACAAGTTTTGTCGAGAAACAGTTAGTTGAATCGGGGGCATCTTTATCGCAAGAGGCGGAAGAGCTCTGCGAATGACAACTTCAAATACCCCCTTAGTTCTCAGAGTTTTAACTCTTTTCAGAATCATGAGAACCTTTTCACTGTAACGATAGGTCGATGCAGGGATAAGGGAACAATACTGTGATAGTCTTTGGATTTCAGAGACACTTTCATCAAGCAGACGATTGGCTTGCGGTTCAATCTCTTCGACCATTGAAACCCACTCTTTGACTTGTTCTAGCCCTTGTATCTCTTCTTCTTTGGATACCCTTTTTAACAGATCATTTCTCATTGCATTGAGGTCTTGCATTTCTTTCTCCAAAGCCCCTAGATTCTCCTCCAGGTTGTGTATATACTTGCGTTTCCCACACAAGAATGGCATAAAAGGTTGATCGCAAGATGGAAATTCAACTGAGAAACTATTACCCATTTTTGGTGTTTCGTCGTTCAGTTGTTTTTAATTGATTCAGCCACTTCCCAACGCAAAAGACGGTTTTGCCAACTTTAATTTGAATTTTTTTTCCTACTAAAAAAAAAAATAAACACTTTTTTCAGAGCTCGATTAAGAAACGAAAACCTAAGATCCTCTCGCCGGCAAAGACGTCGGAGAAAGTGCTGAAAGAGCAAAAAGATGAGCAATTTACCTCTGATTTGGCAACAAGGAAGAAGACCGGAAGCGACACAAGGTCCTAATCCGAGCAGCAGAACTGAAGATTGAATAGAAGAAGAGATGAGAGAGTGGCAGCTAATTGCGACAACTACAATGGGAGAACAAGAAGAGAGACTGTGAGTAAATTACCCACTCGTACATCTCCAACACTCAGCTTTTCTCTTGGCCAGGCTCTTCCTTTATAATAATAGATCGTTCATCTCTTTTAGGTAAACGACATTATGCGAGTGATCCATCTCTGTCGTGGATCTTCATAGTCATTATTATTCTTTGTGCTTTCATTCGTTTCGCTTGACATAAAGCATTCCTTTAGTTGATGGAGATACTCATACCCTACCCACCCACCTACCACCACAAAGTAACACCATCATTTTTTACAATTAAAAGGTGTACCACATGCGCGTGGATCCACATCACTTGTTTCTCCGTCTTCTCCATTATTTTTTCCTTTCATCCTCTCTCTCTCTCTCTTTTTCTCTGGTCTCTCTAGTTCAAGTCAACACCATATATTCCTGCACAAAGATCTGTTTTTGAGCACAGAATGAGTTGGTGTTGGCCGGTAGTTGAGCCATGTTATAAGTATGCTCTGTCTTACTTGTGTGTAAAGGTGGGTAACATTTGGAAATTGAAGAAAAATCTTGTCTTGTTGACAAGAGCTTTGGATAAGCTTAGTGCTGAACGGGATGATGTTTTAAGCAAAGTCAATGCTGGGGAGCTTAAGGGTGAGCAACGCCTAGCTACTGTGGATAAGTGGCTTTCACAAGTCGAAACCATTGAGACACACACCAATCTGTTAATTGATGTTGCTTCCTCTCGGAATGCTTCTTCTTCTCAGGATGTGCATCAACGGCTGTCAACAACTGGCTGCTGGTTCTCAACCTGCGACCTAGGGCAACAGGTGTTCAAGAAGTTGACTCAAGTTCAAAGTCTCTCCGGTAAAGACTTTCAACAAGTGACTGAGCAACCTCCTCCTCCTGTGGTACAAGTGAGACTTTGCCAGCAAACAGTTGGTCTTGACACCACGCTGAAAAAGACTTGGGATAGTCTTACAAAAGATGATAATAGAATGTTGGGAATCTTCGGTATGGGAGGCGTGGGTAAGACTACCCTCCTCACTCTAATTAACAACAAGTTTGTTGAAGTCAAGAATGAGTTTGATGTTGTTATTTGGGTTGAATCGTCTAAAGATGCAGGTGTTGACAAGTTTCAAGACGCAATTGGGGAAAGATTACACATATGTGACAATAATTGGTCTACATACTCAAGAACCAAGAAAGCTGGTGAAATAAGCAGGGTTTTAAGACAGATAAAGCCCCGATTCGTTCTGTTATTAGATGACTTATGGGAGGAAGTGAGTTTAACAGCAATCGGAATTCCTTTGCTGGGGAGGAATTACAAAGTCGTCTTTACTACTCGTTCTAAGGATGTCTGTTCAACTATGAGGGCAAATGAGGACATAGAAGTTCAATGTCTGGCGGAGAGTGAAGCATGGGATTTGTTCAAGCTCAAGGTCAGATGCGACAGGTTTGATGGTGAGGTTATTGATTACGCAAAAAAGATTGCAGCTAAATGTTGTGGCTTACCCATTGCAGTTGAAGTGATTGGAAAGACTCTGGCCTCTAAAACTACTGTAGATCAATGGCGTCGTGCACTCGAGACTTTGGAGTCTTATCCGAGTGAGTTTAAAGGTACAGAGGAGGGCATCTTTCAAGTTTTGAAGCTAAGCTATGATAACTTAGAATTAAAAGATGCCAAGTGTTTCCAGTATTGTGCTTTGTTTCCCAAAGCATATTATATCAAACAAGATGAGCTGGTAGAGTATTGGATAGGTGAGGGTTTCATAGATGAAAAAGACGGAAGACAGAGAGCAAAGGATCGAGGCTATGAGATAATAGATACTCTTGTTGGGGCAGGTTTGTTATTGCTGGATGGGGAGTCTAATAAGAAAGTGTATATGCATGATATGATCCGTGAGATGGCATTGTTGATAGTGTCTAAAATTAGGGATGGAGAAAGATTTCTTGTGAAAACAGATGCTGGTTTAAGCCAGCTGCCTGATGTCACGGATTGGACAACTGTGACAAAGATGTCTCTCATCAACAATGAGATTAAGAGCATACCAGAAGATCCTGAATTTCCTGACCAGACAAATCTTGTCACATTGTTCCTTCAAAATAACAAGTTGGCAGATATTGTTAGTAAGTTCTTTCTGGTCATGTCGACTCTGGTGGTTTTGGATCTATCTTGGAACCTCCAAATCACCGAGTTGCAAGGAATTTCGGAGTTGGTTTCTTTGCGGCTTCTCAACTTATCAGGGACGAGTATTAAGTATCTGCCAGAAGGTTTAAGTGTCTTGAGTAATTTGATTCACTTGAATTTGGAGTCCACGTCAAATCTTCGAAGTGTCGGTCTGATTTCAGAATTAAAAAAGTTGCAGGTTTTAAGATTTTATGGTTCTGCTGCTGCATTAGATTGCTGCTTACTGAAGATCTTGGAGCAGTTGAAGGGTTTACAATTTTTGACCGTTACTGTGAATAACGATTCTGTTTTGGATGAGTTTTTTGGAAGCAAAAGATTGGCAGGGATGACACATGGTCTCTATCTCGAAGGACTTAAAGTACCCTTTGCAGCCATTGGTAAGTTGAGTAGTCTTCACAAACTTGAAATGGTGAACTGCGATATCACAGAGTCAGAATGGGAAGGCCACAGAAGAGACCAGTATTTTCCATCCACATCATCAAATCAAATCACTCCAATGAATCCATGGTTCAAGGATCTCACAGCTGTGGTAATAAACTCATGCATACATCTAAAGGATTTGACATGGCTGGTATATGCCGCGAATCTTGAGTCTCTAAGCGTAGAATCCTCGCCTAAGATGACAGAATTAATAAATAAAGAGAAAGCTAAAGGTGTTGGGATGAATCCTTTTCAAGAGCTACAAGTGCTTCGTCTACATTATTTGAAGGAACTAGGAAATATCTATGGGAGTCAAGTCTCCTTTCCAAAACTGAAGCTGAACAAAGTCGATATCGAAAACTGCCCGAATCTTCACCAACGTCCAGTAGAAGAAAATCTATGATGGTCTCATATAAGCTAGGCCGTTGAATGGGATAGTGGAGGAGCTCAAGAGCGATTTTGTTCTACTACAGTCACTTTGGCTCTCATCTTTGTATTGTCCAGTTTTTATTTCTTGTTTGTTCCTCTACTTGCTTTGTTCTGTAAAAGTTCAAACTGCTCTGTTGTAGTTAAGCTTGCTGGTTTGTAAATTGTGATAACGAACTCAAAAGTGCTTGTAAAATATATTTTGTAAAGTTTAACATATTTAAAAAATTTACCTTTTAAAACTCAAATCCATAAGCTAACCAGTGACGGTTCGGTTCGATTTTTAACAATTATCTAGTCCGGTTTGGTTTGATTTCGAAATTTTGCAATAAAAATTGGAACACAAACCTGGATTGTTGGAAATATGCAGAGGATATCTTTACTCCGCAGCTTCCCCTCTTCCTCCGAAGCCCTAAACGTTGGCCATACAAGTTCCATCAGCATTAGGAGGATCTAACAAGAAACTCTTTCATCACTTCAATGAAACGATGGTACGGTCTCTTAAACTGTAAATAAGCTCCCATACTCATAATTCATAAACCAACTCATGTTTTCTTTTGTTGTTGTTGTTGTTGTTGTTCAATACTATATGGTGTTAAAAGTAAGAGAAATCGAGCTGTTGTGAAGGAGGACAGACTCAGTCAACTTCCTGAAGCTCTGATTCTGCAAATTCTGTCTCTTCTTCCAACAAAAGATGTCATAGCCACAACTGCTCTGTCTAAACAATGGCAGTCTCTTTGGAAGATGGTACCTACACTCATGTTTGATTCTTGCGATCACAAACGTAAACTCGGGACATTTTCAAAAGATGTTTGCAAATCATTGCTTTCACATAAAGCTCCAGTGCTACAGAGTTTGCATCTTGAAGTTGATCTTGATACATGTATTGCTATGGATATTGGTATAATGCTTGGAATGGCTTTTGCACGCAGTCTGCGTAGGCTCTTACTTGACATTTACCCCAAAATAAAGAAGAATAATAAGCCATTCAGCTTTCCTTCAACCTTGTTGTATACATGTGAAACGCTAGAGACCTTGATACTTAGGTTTCATGCTCTTGTAGATGTCCCTTCTCATATTTGTCTCAAGTCCCTCAAGACTCTGCATCTTGATTATATGTATTATTACAAAGAAGATAAATCACTGCGTAACCTTTTATCTGGCTGCCCTTGTCTTGAAACTCTGGTCGTGAGACGAGCTGCTTGTGGTGATGGTATCAAATCTTTCGTTATTGAGGTGCCATCTTTGCAGAGTCTATCAATACATGCTGAAAACGATGGACAAGAGCATTGTGAATACGTGATTAATGCTCCTTCTTTGAAATACTTGCATATCTATACGGAAAAGGGTCCTGAAGTTTGTCTAAGTGAGACTTCTCTGAAGCTGGTAGAAGCGAAAATTTCATGTGAAACAATCGATGATAAGCTTTTGGGATCTTTAACTTCAGTCAAAATGCTTTCTTTGCTCTTTTGGTCACCCTTGGAGGTAACCTTTGTTTTTTTTTTTTGGCAGTTGACTTGTCTTGCTATTACATTGTTTTTGTACTAATGATATTGCATATCATTGCATAGGTTGTGTATCCTACTGGTAGTAGTGTCTTCTATCGGTTGGTATGTTTGGAGATATATACAGGTAAACCGGCGTGGTGGAATCTTCTTATGTTCATGCTCGATGCTTCGCCTAAATTACGAGTACTCAAGCTCCTCACCGATGTAAGCATATTCACAAGTTCATTTCTCTACTAAGTTTTTTGGTTTGATGATCTAATATATATAATGTTACAATGTGTTTTACCCTCAGAAATGGCATAAGGTTGGAGAACATGTGGTCTGTGAGAAATGGAATCAACCAAAGACTGTTCCTGAATGTTTGTTGCTCCATCTCGAGACATTTGTGTGGGAAGGCTACGAGGGGAAACGCCAAGAAGAGAAAGAGGTAGCAAAATATGTACTAAGGAACACAAGTCGTTTGAAAAAGGTAGCTTTCTCCAAATCAAATTGTAGTTTAAAAGACAGACTTGAGATGCTTAAAGAGTTGGAAAGAGTCATCAAGACTCCGGATTCATGTCAGTTTGATTTTGCATGAAACTTTTATATTTGATTTAGGAGATTCTTCGATTTGATACATTCTTTTAGGCATGGTTTTTGCAAAGGAACTATTACTATTTGGTATTTACTATACTGAAGAGGGTATCAGACAACAACAAACATTACATGGGAATAAGTATATACAGAAACGAACCACTTGGGTTTGATTTTGGTTACTTATAAATAGTCAGCGATACAGTTGGAGTGTGAAGGATCATTCTCGTCATTAACAACATTGTAATAGAGTGAAGAAGGTCTGCCATCAAAAGTGGAGACAAGTCGATGAGGAGAAAGACCGCAGTAACAATGTCTTAATCTCGCCTCGCAGATTTCAATCACTCTCTTAAACATTTTGTCTTCTCTTATCATTGGTTGCTCCACGAATTCCACCAATGGCATCCACTGAACACACACAAAAACAATCATCTTTTAGCATTGTCTAACTTGAGCCATTCCAACTGCAACTTGAGACTAACTGCAAAAGTTATGATTATAGTTACCTTTGCGGCTTTGATCTCAAGATCATCGATGATTATCTTATCTGAGAGAGGTCTCAACATACAGATGAAGAAGAGATCAGATTTCTCAAACGCAACGTTGTGAGCATGTCTGAAAGCTATAACCTCTGAGAACTCTGTATCAACCTGAAGAACACAACACAAGGCCAAACATGGTTATGATCTTGAGAAAATTTAAATCAAAATCAAGATTATTACTAATGTTAATTACCCCAGTTTCTTCTTTGACTTCTCTTACAGCACCAGAGAAAATTTCTTCAGATTCATTAATAAACCCTGTTGGTAACTTCCATAGACCTGTAATCGATGGAGCACAATACTTTTCTTGTACCACAAGCACCTAATGAGATAAAAGAAAATATTCAGATAGCTCTTTTTTGAAAATGGGGTGAAGTGTTTAGAGAAGGATCATCATTCATATATCCATACCTCTTTATGTTGATTTAATACAAAACCTCCAACACCAACTTGATGTGAAGCATTTGCAGGAAGCATACTAGGTTCCTCCTCTGGTATCCAATATGTTAACATCACATATCCTTTCTCTGCATGATGATACTCAAAACCTTCCTGCAAAAATCCACAAAACATCATTAACCTGCATAAACAAATCAACTACAGACAAGATCAAGAACCTCTTACCTTTACAGCAATTGGGACTAATTCTGATTGTTCCACAGGTAACTTTAACCAAACTCCTTTCTTTCCCTACAAAATTTCCCCCCAAATTGACAAATTGCTCAAAGATAAATGACTTTTTAGTAAAAGGGTTCAAGATTTTTATAGGGTTTTAGAGTTTACCTTTCTTCTCCAATCGGTGAGAGAAGCTCGAAGCATAGAAGCGAAAGCGTAAGGGTTTGATGGTAGTTTTCTATGATCAACTATTACTCCACCATACTGATCATCAGTAGCATCAAGTAATAATCTTTCTTTAACAGAACTGATCATTGTTCTGCTTTTTATGTTTACTACTCCATTGATCTTGTAACCAGAATCTGAAGTAGCAGATATACGTTCTCCATAAACAAATTGGTGGCTCTTTGTGTTGTTGGTTATACTTGAAGATATAGCCCTTGCTCCTTCAACTTCTCATCCAAATGCAGAGGAATAATTTTTTTAATCATTTAAAAAAAATAAAGTAAATAGATAACAGAACTTGTTGTGAACTGAAGAGGAAGTGATGATATAAGTACCTTTGGAGGAAGAAAACTTTAGAGATATTGGAACACCAGAGAATGGTTGTCTGAAACTGTGCATAAAACCCAAATGTGTTCTTCTAATAACAGTAACCTCAGAAAGAGAAACAGAATCCATCGGAGACCAAAGAAGAAGATCTCAAATTTCGATCTATGTGAAGAAAAGAAAAGAAAAAAGTTTACTATAAATGGAAAGCGAGTAAAGAACTCAGACTATGTTTACCAGCAGCAGAGATTGAAGAAGCAGATATAAGAGAATGAAAGAGAGAAGAAAGAAAGAAAGAGTAATGTGTTGAGAGATTTTTATGAGGCACACTTATAATGTGTGGTGTAAAGTGGATCGAGTGGTGGTTAAGTGAGAAATGAGAAAAGGAAAGTGTAAGAACAGTTTCAATATCTAACATCAAAAGACAAATTACACGTGAATTTCTTCTTCTTCTTTTTTTTTTTTTTTGACCTACGATTTCATATTTTTTCAACCGACCAGATATTTTACAACCCTAATTTTTGTACATTTTATTATTCTAATATCACATATAGCTAAATAAGCTACCTGTTTGTTTGTTTTTGGTTTCGATAAAGACATATTGCTACGTGTTGTGTCTATCTTTTACATTAAAACTATCTATTAATAATAGACAAACTCAATATAAAATATCTTATATAGACATAAAACTATACATAGAATGCAAGAAAACAGCTTAGTTATTCCCAAAAAAAAAACTCAATTATGGTGAAATGGATAGGGTATTTAATATTTTGAAACATTCTACTTCTTAATTATAATATTTTCTTAGTTAATTATCAATCAGGCTAATGAAAAATATTCCAAAGCTTCTGGATATAAACCTACGCAATAGTGGCACCCTGGCAGGTTTTTTAATTTATAAAATTTATAAAGTTACTAAGCAAATTAGTGTACGAAATATACAAGAACAAAAAAAAAAAAAAAAGGAATCAATAGTTTAAGGTCTCAGAGAATCTTTTTAACAACTTCAAGAGAGATGTCTCATGTCTGTACGAAGGAATCTTCACGAGTTCAAGGTTATGGATAAACGGATATTAAATCTCTATGATCCGATCCCTCTCGTTTGATCAGAGGGTCTCCTCTTCCTCATGCCTCTCCTTACAATTTTGTACAAGCGTGTACCTCACGCAATAACGGACGAGAGTTTGGTAATAAAGCATCTGGTTGTTGCTGAAGCTTACGTGGACATGGGCCTTGGTCGCTAGATTCCTTGTCTTTTCCGTTTTTTTTTACTTGGAGTTTTTGAATTGTGAACATTTTTGGGGGAAAAAAATAGAGTTTTAATTCGATAACATTGCTCTCATTTGTTTTCCGACATATGTAATTTTGTAAAGATTTACTTAATTCAATGCTGATTTTTTACCACACAAAAAAGTGTATGTGTATACTTTTACGACCGGATAGTATTATTAGGTTTGCATACGTTATGGACAACGATGACGTTTGATTAGAAAAATGAAATGCAATAATTGGAAATTATGGAAGGATTAGGTTATGGCCACGTAGGATAATTAGGTAACCCTCTGAAGTGCATGATGATGATGATCCACTTTTGTGATAACATTGTGTCTTCCATTTACAACTTAAAAAATAAATTTAACAGTTTGGATAATGATGTAATGCCTACCATGATTTCTTGGTCGGGTGTTTTTCAAGTAAAATATGTTTTGGATATTGAATAGTCGTAGGATGACGAACATTTCTTACTTGATTGGTACTCTAAAATATTAGCCTCCTAAAATTTAACATGTAATTTTATTTTGTGATCGAAGCAAAACCACATACTACGTACATTTTGTTAACCTAACAAAATTTGATCATAAGAAACTAATTATACCTTTTCTATCAACGGATTACGAATCAAACTAACAAACTTTAGGTTATAAAGGATTAAAGTCTATTTGTATAGTTTTTAATGATTCGATGTAGTAGATAGGTTAGTTTAGATCTTATCCATCCAAGCATCCAGAACTTCTAGACATATATATACATATATATCTCTAGAGAAACGAAGATGTTTAGATTCTTCATAAGTGACATATTCAATGTTTAGAAACACAACTATTTAACAAAGCCCATTGATTAGTGTTTTCAATTAATGAGAGATAGTGTGTTGACAAGACCCAAACGAAAATCTTTGGTTCTAGTATTATATAAATGGTAGTCTTCCAAATTAGATGTCAAATACTAAAAATACTTAAGAGATCGATTTAGTCGTACAAGGAATAATCTTCTAGAGGACAATAACTAACATACATAATATGGCTTTTTCATATTTCGTCATGTACGTTTTACCAACTACGCAAAAGTCTACCCACGTGCGATATATTTTTGACCATCCTAAGAAAAAGTCTTATCCATTTTGTATTTATCCTAAGAAGAAGAAGAAAGAGCTGAATCGACTTGTTCAGACTTCAGACATGATCACGGGGTTATGCATTTATTGTGTCTTCAACTCTACATATCGCCGGTCAATTTCACGAGTTTGAATAGTTCTTTTTTCTAATACGAGGCTCTAATCAAATTCTTTTATTGTCAAATCGCATTGATTTTATTTTCTCATCAAAATAGAATTTTATTACTCGATATGTTGATCGTGGCGACCGCGATGAGGACTCAAGCAAGTCATATAGCTAAGGTAATCACGGGAATGTTCGAGCTTAACGATTTAGAATTGGTATTTTCTTCTTATTTTTCAATTGTATTCGTAAATTTTATAGTTGTTGATTTTTGTTTTAATGAATTTTTTATTTTTTTCGATAACCATTTTGACAAATTTAAAACTGGTATAAATATTTAACATTAATATCAAAATAATATAATCACAAAAAAGTTGTTTGAGCCATAGAGACTGAGAACAATAATAGAAAGGTGTAGCATTACAAACGAATTTAACAAGATTATGAGTTATATTATTACAAGAAGGTATACAAAATTTATTTTCATATTATACAATTTTTTAAAAATTTATACAAATTATAAATTAATTTAATATTTTAGAATCTATATATATAAATTTAGCTTTTTCTCTCTTCTCATGATGCCACCTAAGCATGCACCTAAGCCACATTTTTGTTTAAACATTAAAATAAATTTAAAACATTCATTTAATGCATATTTATGTTACTTATTCAATTAATAGAAAGTTTATATAAATAAAAATAAATTATGTAAAAAAATGAAATGTTAAAATAAGAAACAATACTTTATTTTTTTTATTAGTGGTAATAATATAATTCAACTTTCATTTTAAATTGATAGTAATTTAATATTTTAAATATGTTACTGAGTTTTAGAATGGAAGTAAAATTTAAATTAATGGTAGACTAAAACAACATTTATGTAATTATAAAGAGTAAAAATAAAAGGGGGAATTTCAAAAATACCCCTTTTCATATACATCTTTTTAAAAATACCCCATTTTCAAACTTTATCAAAAAACCCACTAAAAATATTGAAATTTATCCAAATATGTGTGTAAGCTTATAAATATATACACAAATTACCTTTATATGTGTCTAAAATTTTATACACCTTTCATAAATAGCGTAAAAATAATTTATAAAAACCTTATAAAAACCTTATAAAATCGTATAAACCATTTTAAAAACCTTTTAAAAACCTTTTAAAACTTATAAAAACGATTTAAAACTATTTAAAACATTTTAAAATATTTGTATCGAATCTCACAGTAGTAGTTATTATATAGAAGTACCTTATAAACTATATAAAACTTTATAATTTTTATATTTAAAAAGGGGTATTTTTGAAAATGTATAGATAAAGGGGGTATTTTTAAAAAGGGGTACACCAAAAGGGGTATTTCTCAAAAATTCTCTTAATATTATACAGTTTTTTATAATTGGTCAAACATTTTAAAGTAGAAATTTCTGTGTATTTTTAGTTAATATATTTTTTGTTTTTAAACGCTAAAGAGTATAATTTATAGATTGAATTAATCCGATTTCTTATACATCTACTCATAATAAAATAAAACTCGATTCTCCATAATCATCATTAACTGAAATAAAGTATTGTGATTTGTGAAAAAAAAAAAGAACAAATAGAAGAAATAAGCAAAACATATGAACAAATGGAATTTTTTATATAATTTTTATTTATCCATCGCATGCACCTACGTGTACCAAAAGTCCACGTCAGCATACACACCGCCAAAGACCCAAAAAAAAAAAAAGATTCAAACAACGGTCAATTGTGAATAACCAAACGACGGATGAGGAGATAACGGCGAAAGAAGGGGAAAGTTAAGAAACCCCGTTAAGTCCCAGTCGGTGTATAACGGAAACGTCTCTCCACCGTCACCGTCAACGTTCTGTTCCGTCTTCAACGCTTTCTCGACCAGAGTCGCTTTCTCATCATCATCGTCGCCGTCGTTGTCTCTCTTCCGTTTGTTCTCAGTTGGTTCGTCGGCGCGTGGTTTCCACTTGCCAACCTCGAGAGGGAAATTCAAAATAGCTTTGGAACCTCGTAGTCTAAAGGCAGCTTGGTCGTAAGCTCTAGCCGCTTCAATCGCTGTATCGAAAGTGCCGAGCCAAACGCGAGAACCGCGTTTGTTGGGGTCTCTAATCTCGGCTGCGAATTTCCCCCACGGTCTTTGTCTCACTCCTCTGTAATGTTGTTTCTTCTCTTCTACTTCCGGTTTAGTAACTTCCGGTTTAGGATTAAGATCCTCCGCTACGAATTGGATCCACTCTGTTTTAGCTGGGAGTGCGATCTTCAACGGCGGTTTTCGAATTTGTGAATTATTAATCTCCGGTTCGACTTGATTTTGATTTTGATATTGATTTTGATGGGTTGGTTTAAAATCGAAATCAGAAAGAGAGATGTCGGAGTGGAGTATAAAATCGACGAATCTGGGAGTATCGAGATCGATGATTTGGGAGTCAGAGAAGCAAGAGTCGGAGCTAGATTCGGATGCTGGTGGTGGTTCGTGTGTAGTAGCCACGGGAGAGAGGTCGTCGAGAAGGTGTTTCTCGATGAACCAAAGTGCAGATACTTCGTTAGGAGTGGCCATTGCTGTTGAATTATTTTGAAGTTTGAGGTGATTAGTAAAATATATATTCAAAAGCCTTTGAAGAGATGATTGGGAGAATTTGAATATTGAGTAGAGAAGAGAGAGTGGAAAGATGTATATATAAGAGAAACCAATGAAGGGGGGGACTTTGTCGTCAAGTGGACTTTTTCAAATAGAGGAACAAGAAGGAGCCAACGAACCATCCTCTTTTGTTTTTGTTTATAATATAAAGGACGAAGGTGATGAGGTGTAAATTAAAGAGCGAACCACTTGCACTTGCGTTTGTGTGTTTCGTGGACTTAGGGAGCCGTTGGATCAACGTAACTGACTCATCTCTCCTCGACATTGTCTGTGATCGGTTCCGTCTTTAACTTGACTACAATCCATAAGCTTAGTTCGGAGCATAAACAAACATAAATTACTAACATAAATCTTACCTTTTCGACAACACATGCAGTGTATAATCTTATACGTAAGACTTATGTATGGTTCACGTAGGTGCATGCGATTATTTTCGTTATTAATTATTAGAGGCTAGTAATACCAAGTCGGCAAGTCTTAAAATTATTTTTATAAACCATAAATGATGAATTTACAATTTGACTGATAAGATAAACTTTTTAAAACCAGAATGTGATCTTCACTGATACCTACTCCAGTCTTCCTACTTTCCGGAATTGGTTTTTTTTATAGAGATACGAGAATTAATCTAACGCGATTGATCCATCTTCTTCATTTTCATTTCACTTCACTTAATTAGTCTTTCTTAGTTTTAAACTGTATCTATTCTATCCGGAGCTTCCTACTTGATTATATATATCTATACTATTAATTGAGAAGTACAACTTGAAAGCAAACACCCCCAATTTTAAAAATAAATTTCATGAAAATAAAACCAGTTGCCAAACAGAATTAACGACAGCAAAAAAAAAAAAACAAAAACAATCTATATTTATGGAAATCATAATAATCTTTTACCATAAAAAGTGGACAATTAAATTCAAAACTAAATATATGTAAACATATATATTTCGAATATACATAAACATATTTATTATTAATAATATTTTAATATAATTTCGAAATTAATAATTTATATAGAATGAAATCTAATAAAACAAAATCATCATATCTAAAATAACAAAGATAACATTTTTTTAGAAAAATGAAAAAAAGATAAAAAAAAATATATGTTAGCATATGAAATAATCAACTAATCAAATTCTACATAGTATATATACATAACTGATCATATCATAATATTTTTAAAAATTATATAATTTTAAAATATAAATAAAATTTAAATAAATCAATAATTAAATATTTGTTTGCTAAAATCATGCGAAT